GTTTGTTAACCATAATTGTCACTTTGTTATAAAACTACTAATATTGTTATTTTTGTTTGTTAACCATCATTGTCACTTCGTTATAAAACTACTAATATTGTTATTGTTGTTTGTTAACCCAAAATTGTCACTTCGTTGTAAAACTACTAATATTGTTATTGTTGTTCGTTAACCAAAATTGTCACTTCGTTATAAAACTACGAATATTGTTATTGTTGTTTGTTAACCAAAATTGTCACTTTGTTATAAAACTTCTAATATTGTTATTTTTGTTTGTTAACCAAAATTGTCACTTCGTTATAAAACTACTAATATTGTTATTGTTGTTTGTTAACTAAAAATGTCACTTTGTTAAAAACTACTAATATTGTTATTTTTGTTTGTTAACTGTAGTTTTACAACGAAGTGACAATTATGGTTAACAAACAAAAATAACAATATTCGTAGTTTTATAACAAAGTGACAATTTTGGTTAACAAACAAAAATAACAATATTAGTAGTTTTACAACGAAGTGACAATTATGGTTAACAAACAAAAATAACAATATTCGTAGTTTTATAACAAAGTGACAATTTTGGTTAACAAACAAAAATAACAATATTAGTAGTTTTATAACAAAGTGACAATTTTTAATATTGTTATTTTTGTTTGTTAACCAAAATTGTCACTTCACGATGGCTATGTGCACATAACCGTTCATAATTTTGAATTTATAGACTAGAGGGAAAACAGCTATAGCACCCATCGCCAACTATTGGGCTACTTTTATCTGACTCATCGCCAGACACGGCTCCAAACTGCGTGGCACGTTTTTTGTGGCAACAGGATGACAAACTGTGAACTCTCCGATACGCAGTCCAATCACGCTAACCATTAAGCCACGCCTGACCTACTACTAAAATACTTACAAGGAACTCGTTGTTTTCGTTTTTCAGATCTAGCAGATTGACACCAGAATGTTATAGCCCTACTTATGGTATTCGTCTGGTCCAAACTTATAATTTATTACACGGGCAACAGTTACACTAAATAAAAATGGGGTCTAATTTCAGCTGATAATGAAGTACTCGTGCGAGGAGATGAGTAGGGCCTGGTGGTTAGTTCACCCGTCTCGCAATCTACGGGTCGCGAGTTCGAATCCCGTCACCGGCCACGGTCGCTCTTTCAGCCGTGAGGGCGTTATAATGTAACGGTCAATCTCACTATTTGTTGGTAAAGAGTAACCCCAAGAGTTGGAGATGGGTGGTGATGACTAGCTAGCTACCTTCCCTCTAATCTATCACTTCAAAATTAAGATAGCCCTCTGGTTTGGTTTGAATTTCGGGCAAAGCTACACGAGAGCTATCTGCGCCAACCATCACTAATTTAGCAGTGAAAGACTAGAGGGAAGGCAGCTAGTCATCACCACCCACCGCCAACTCTTGGGCTACTCTTGTACCAACGAATAATGGGATTAACCGGCACATTATAACTCCCCCACGGCTGAAAGGGCGAGCATGTTTGGTGGGACGGGGATTCCAACCCGCGACCCTCAGATCGCGAGTCAAGCACCCCCTAACCACCTGGCCATCCAGGACAGTCTTTAGTAGCTTAGAGCGAAAGTTCAGAAACAAACAAACAGACGACACGAGGAAAGATCCTAATGTTTCCTTACGTCTTATCCGGTTTTAATCAGCTAGAAGCCTCGGACAAAGTTTTATCGTAATTAATGAGAAATTTCTTGAATTTGTTCTGCACATTTTTACATCAAAAGCTACATGAAAAAATCAACGTGTCTGTAATATACTGTTCAAGAATGTATTGTACAATCAATAAGAGGGAAATTAAATATTTCGCCGTGAGTGATCAATTGTCCCATACCAAAAATTTTGGAAAGTTTATTGAACTCTTTTATTTGCTAGTCACACCAGAAAAAGCAAGACAGTTCCGTAAACTTGTTTACGCTTACTTCCTTAAATGATTAAAAATGGTTTAGTTGTTGTTAAGCGCAAAGCTGCCCAATGGGCTATCGGTGCTCTGCCCACCACGGGTATCGAAACCCGAATATTTTTTTTGCCTTTTTTTTTACGTAATTCTAGAGTAAGGACGCTCGACTCGCAATCTGCAGGACGCCGGATCGAAACCCGTTACCAAATACGCCCTTCCAGCGTTACAATGTGACGTTCAATCCCACTAATCGTTGGTAAAAAGTAACCCGAGAATTTACGGTGGTTGTTGTTAACTAGCTACCTTCCCTCTCATCTATCACTTCAAAGTTGGGGATGGCTAGCGCAGATAGTCCTCGAGCATCTTTGCTCGAAATTTAACAAAAACAATAATACTAGAGAAAGCGATATAAGTAGAGGGATTTAAAAGGGGTTAATCTGAATGTATTTCACGTAATACATTTTATTATACATTTTGTCAGTAATGTGCAGATGACATTAAATGGGCAGGGGCAAAAACAACAGGGGCACTTCTCAAGTAGTGCAAAGAAAGCTTTTCTTTTTAGAGGGGGGGGAGTTGTTAGATGAGACTATTGTGACTGTGGGTTGATTCTCGTACACGTGGGATTAAAAAAAACATAAGAAGGAAACAGAACATCATTTATTCCTGTCTAATTGGTCTTATAACCCATTTTGTGATCTAAAAATAAACATTGAATTATTGTGTTTTGTTTGTTTGTTTTGAATTTCGCGCAAAGCTACAAGAGGGCTATCTGCGCTAGCCGTCCCTAATTTAACAGTGTAAGACTAGAGGGAAGGCAGCTAGTCATCACCCCCCACCGCCAACTCTTGGGCTACTCTTTCACCGACGAATAGTGCGATTGACCGTCACATTAGAATGCCCCTACAGCTGAAAGGGGCGAGTATGTTTGGTGGGACGGGGATTCGAACCCGCGACTCACAGATTGCGAGTCGAGCTCCCTAACCACCTGGCCATGCCGGGCCTTGAATTATTGTATACTGGACAGAGACCCGCAAAACATTTACGATCAAATTAGTGTCTTTTCTCAGGGCTGACGAGAGGGAGGGCACTGCCCCGAGTCCGTTGAGGGGCCCAGCAGTGGAATATTCCAAAGCTAATTGGAAATACATACTACTTAATGAGCTAAAATGGCTACTGCTTTTTCATAGATTCATGAAGAAATTTGTCACCTAAATTTCTTTTATGAAAAATCAGCAAAAGTTAATAAATAGAATGAAAGGGGGAGGGGGCGATGATATTACTGACCTCGGGGCCTGAGCTGGCTCCCGACGTCCCTGTCTTTACTGCAATAGTATTTCTTCAAATACAGGAAACATTTGCGATCAACAAATACAGAATTTCTAGAATAAAACAAAATAATTCTAATCCAAAACACCGAAATCCACTTGTCTTAGGCCTAACATTAGTTAAGCCTTTATTAAGTACGGCCTACATCCGATAAAGATATAGATTAACACTGTGTCTTGTGCACGTTTTTTTTTTAGCTTTAGTTTAGTTAGGCCTAAATTTCACCGTACTTAATACTTTCAATGAATAAGCTTATAATGTATTTTTTTACAACCTTTTTAAACATTTTAATATGTTGTTGTACAAAATGTCTACTAAAGTATATTTACATCCGCCTTTTGAAATGAAGTGAGCGCGCATGCGTATTTAGATAGTAAGGTGAGTGCGTATTTGAAGAACAGACAAAATTTCAGTATCTTATTATAATAGATTAACACTGAACATAATTTATTTTTTTACAGTAAAATCCTATAAAATTCTCTTTGTTCCGTTTATTTTAAAGACATTCTTTAAACCTAATAACTTGCAGCAAACAATATATTGAATCGTCGTTATCTTTTCGTAACTCTTGACAATTATATCGGAGAAAAAAAGGGCAGTTTTGGGGCATAAGGGCAGAAAAGTAGGGGCATAAGTCCACCCAGCTACCACCCTGTATTTTATTATTACCTATCGAAATCCCCATGCGTTGCTTATAAAATAAGAAAAACGTTATTTTCTATTAAAACAAAAATAATGTTTTAAAAAGTTCTTCGTTTTCAACCTATTGATATATGTTATAAAAAAAATGTGGTTAGGTGTGGTATGGCCCCCCAGTGGCACAGCGGCATGTCTGAGGGACTTACAACGCCAGAATCCGGGTTTCGATACCCGTGGTGGGCAGAGCACAGATAACCCATTGTGTTGCTTTGTGCTTAATTACAAACAAAAATAAAATAAATAGGTGTGGTATGTACGGTTTACGATGAGGAACCGTTTTAGACGTGCCCAAAATTGGTTTCTAGGAAAACGAACTATTTCAAATATCCACTGGTTACTCTAACCCTACTCGTGTTACTCGACGTACCTCGCCAAGGTTTTTGCTCGAGAAACTTCATTTCCGAAGGTGGATAAGCTTGTTATATTATTCTTTTTATATCTCTATGGATTCTACAACTAAAAAAAATATTATCGGAATTCAATACTCGTCGCTAAATGCTTCAAAACTATCTTGTTTAAAACTGACGCCAGAGATATGATTAATCAGTTTCCCACCTTACATATGAGTAAGCGCCACCTAGAGGCGTTACTAGCAGTTTAAAAGATTCGCAGCGCCTTGCGGCGATTCTGGCGCCACCTATGTTGGTAGTCTGCATTCTGTTTGGGGTGAGTTCAACCTTACCTCAAGGCCGGGCAGGTATGAATGGTGGGAAGGAAAGGAAACAGAGAGGAGAGGGGGATGAGGTCGTTGACATTGGAAGTGAAGCTAGAAAACGTTTCTTAGCAACCCTGGGCCACATACGCAACGCGTTCTGTAAGCTGCAACACGGTGAATGTAGGCGGAGATCTTGCCTTATTCAACTGGCCAAATGGACTGTTCGGTCACATAAAAAGGACTGTATGGAGGCTATCATGACGAGCCGTGCATAACCTAAAGTCGTCTAGAAAGAAAAGAATTTCTCGAAGGTTTCAGAACCATTCCTGTTTTTGCGGATGATTTTTCTATTTTAAAAATAACTTTTTTTGTTTTTTTGCTAGCTTTGAGGCAATTCCTTACACCTAGAGGATCATGGGTAAACTTATCGGTATGAGGAGCTGTAGTGGCTTTCAAGACCTTAAGTCAGGTAGCATCGTCGTCTGTCATTATGCTATGGTAAGTAAAAAAAAAAAAAACGACCCTCGGAACTCACTTTTTGTTTAAATTGATCATTTGAAAAAAAATAACAATTTTATAGATATTTTTTGTTTGCTGTAACATTATATTATCAAAATCTCGAATTTCATTGGAATAAGACAAAATACAAGTTATTTGTTACATTAATTCCAACATTAAACTTAAAATAATTCACACACAATCTAAATTTTGTTGTTGGGATAATTTCCGTGAGCCAGGTTATATTTATGTGTGGCGGTATTCAGTTCCTTTGGTTCAGCGGTTATTGGTGTTTATTTAATCGAGAAATTAATCCCAATATTTTATTTTCTATTTATCAAAACTTTACGTAATATAATATTTCTTAATTCCCCTTTTTTATTTTACCATATTTTCCTAATATTTAACTTTTGTTTATTATTTTGTAAAATACTCGGGTGATTCTTCTTCAAGCTTTATTTCTTTGCCTGAATTTTTGTTTGTTTGTTTTGAATTTCGCCCAAAGTTAAAAGTCTAAAGAAACATCTCAGATCAATGGTTTCTTTGTTTGTTAAATTTCGCGCAAAGCGAGGGCTATTTGCGCTAACCTTCCCTAATTTTGCAGTGTAGGGAGAAGGCTAGTCATCACCACCCACCGCCAACTCTTGGGCTACTCTTTTACCAACGAATAGTGGAATTGACCGTCACTTTATGAAGTCCGCACGGCTGAAAGGACCAGAATATTTGGTGGTACGGGGATTCGAACCCGCGCCCTAACCACCTGGCCATGCCGGGCTCTGAATTTTTGGGCAAAATATGTAATTCAGAATCTCCTAATCTATATAAATGTGACTGTTTGTTGTATGTTGTCCATGTAATTACTTCGCAGGGGGTGAGTGGATCTCCACCAAAATTGGTATGGAGGTTCAATGATTAGGTCTATGCGGGATACATAAAAATTTCCAGTTTTGTGTTTTGAAGTTTTTATGGGCATTTTTCACCACTACTCCCCCCCCCCCTCGTAAATGGATCTTCGCCTAATTTGGTATGGAGGTTCAATGGATCTATGGGGAGAAACATACAAATTTGCCGTTTCACATTTTGTGTTTTGCAGTTTTTATGGGCATTTTTTTGTACAATTACATATAAAGGAAGCAACTTTTCATGTCCTAAGATAACCTTTGATTAATCACGAATTTACATAATTACCGAGGGGACGGGTACTCCAGCTAGTTACAAATATATAAATAAAATTTAAGGTTATTATTATTAACAGCCGGAGATTGTCATATTATTATTATATTGGAATAAATACATATTTATGGGCTATAAATTGATTTTAAAATCGTGCATATAAATATGAAGCATGTTTAAGGGAACAACTATCTATTTAAAAACAAACGGAAATGTTTTATTCTGAAAGGTAGGTTATTTTTTTATTATCCCCTCTACTCAGCAACTGGTCTCCCTGTGATTCAAACCATATAAAAACAAGAAATTAATTCATTGTTGTAAAGGAATTTTGGGGAATATGTATGATAGTTTTTTGGGTGGAAAATATTGTTTGAGAACGAAATTTATGGCTAAATCATTATGAGTCACATTCATAAAGAAACGTCAAAAAACAACAAATACAAATAAAAAGCTACCACCCCTATGTAAAGAAATGTTACGATCTCGTTCTTTAGAAAAAATGGCAGCCAATAATTGACAACATTACAAGTATTGTTGTACGATATGACAGTGAGATAATTATTACAAGAAACGAGAATTTCTGTTTTAAAAATGGACTTATTTGAAGATTACGCCTATTATCTCTGCGGGCTTATAACGTTAAAAATTGGGTTTTGATACCACCCGGCGATTTTCATTATCTTCGTTATTAAGCATGGAGTTTGTCTGTTCTTACATCTTGTCCACCTGTAGATGCTTTATTAACTTTCAAATGATGTATATCTAGCGCGACTTGGTTCACTAACACGTCTTATCATGTATACATAACAGGAGCAGTTTATTTGTGTCTTGTTTGTTTGTAGTTAAGCACAATGCTACACAATGGGCTATCGAAACCCGGTTTCTAGCGTTGTAAGTCCGCAGACATACCGCTCTGCCACTGGAGGTCTTCTTTATGTCACTTTGAATTTTAATAATGATCAGTATGAGAATTAAGGATATATTTAAAAGTATGGAGACGGCTTGAATGTGTGTGTGTGTGTTTTGAATTTCGCGCAAAGCTACACGAGGGCTACCTGCGCTAGCCGTCCCTAATTTGGCAGTGTAAGGCTAGAGGGAAGGCAGCTAATCATCACCACCCACCACCAACTCTCGGGCTACTCTTTTACCAACGAATAGTGGGATTGAGATTGACCGTCACATTATAATGCCCCCACGGCTGAAAGGGCGAGCATGTTTGGTGTGATGGGGATTCGAATCCGTTTTACCAACGAATAGTGGGATTGACCGTCACGTTATAATGCCCCCACGGCTGAAAGGACGAGCATGTTGGGTGTGACGGGGATTCGAACCCGGGACCCTCAGATTGCGAGTCGAGCGCCCCCTAGCCACCTGTGGGTTCCACGTTATCAAATATAATGAAAAATATTTACTATAACAATTAAATTTTTAGCCCGGTTTTATTCTTGTTTCCAGGGCTTGTCTTTTCTGGCTCTGATTCTACTAGCAGGAAGACTCTATGACGTTGATCGACAGGTTAGCCTCTTGAATACTATAGCTTCCGTATGGCTCCCAGACACGTTGTTGTCTCCGAGCCCACCAGATGGCGCTAGTAACGGAGAGTTCCAGCCTGAAACACCGAAGGAGACATCTGGTGACCAGATTAGTAACCAACCAAGTGAAGAAACTTCATTTTTCATAACCAAACTAGAACTCCTTGCCAACTTGAAATCAGACATTGAATATATCATACGTAAGTATTAAAAACCATACTGAATATATCATATGTATTGAAAACGTACTGAATACATCATATGTAAGTATTAGAAACCGTACTGAATATATCATGTGTATTAAAAACGTACTAAATATATCATATGTAATAAAAACCGTACTGAATACATCATATGTAAATATTAGACACCATACTGAATATATCATATGTAAGTATTATAAACCGTACTGAATATATCATGTGTAAATATTAGACACCATACTGAATACATCATATGTTTTAAAAACCGTACTGCATATATCATGTGTAAGTATTGAAAACAGAGACAGTAAATATTTGTACAGTATTGATCGAAGATAATCAAAATTTTAAAATGACAGTAAAAGTATTTAACAGAGGGAACTGGAATATAAGAATACCGTATATATAGACATTAGAGGTGTATTTAATATTTAATAGGAACAACAAGGGTTAACATGTTACTGAATGTAAAGTGTAAAGGCTTAATTAATAATGAATTGGTACAGCAAAAACTTTCATAATGTTAAAGACAGGACGGCAACAAGGTTTTATAATGCTACGTAGAGGGCGCTTTATTATGTTGATTTGAGACATATTGACAGAGGAACACGAAAAGAACGTTAAGTGAATACCAGAACGTGTAGTTATTTTTATAGTGTTATTAATGGGTGTTATGAAGCGGTAATTATATTTGTGATGAAATGCACGTTATGCTAGTACAATAAGCAACAATAATTAAGTACGGTGAGGATATTTATTGTAGAAAACGTATTATATCATTCGACAGGTCCAGGTATTTTTTGTTGTCTTTTAAAATATGTAGTGCATAATAGTGAGATTTAATAATAAAGAAAACAAAACAACCTTTACACTTCCGCTACTTATAAGAGAAATTCATAATAGTGGGATTTAATAATAAAGAAAACAAAACAACCTTTACACTTCCGATACTTATAAGAGAAATTGTTGGATGATATAGTGTGTTTTATATGATAATTATCAAGATGAAGAGTGTTTATAATTCCCTTCATTATAATGTAACAAGCTACAAGTAAGTTAAGTATTGTTGTTAGACAGACGTTTCCTTTGAAGTAGTTTTATAACTGGTATTGTTGTTAGATAGAAGAGGAACACCTTTCCCTTGAATGAGTTATAACTAGTATTGTTGTTAGATAGAAGAGGAACACCTTTCCCTTGAATGAGTTCCTCTTCTATCTAACAACAATACTAGTTATAACACCTTTCCCTTGAATGAGTTATAACTGGTATTGTTGTTAGATAGAAGAGGAACACCTTTCCCTTGAAGTAGTTATAACTAGTATTGTTGTTAGATAGAAGAGGAACACCTTTCCCTTGAATGAGTTATAACTAGTATTGTTGTTAGATAGAAGAGGAACACCTTTCCCTTGAAGTAGTTGTATAACTGGTATTGTTGTTAGATAGAAGAGGAATACATTTCCTTTGAAGTAGTTTTACAGTGTATTTAAATTCAACAGTGTGTATAAATTCAACAATATGTTTAAAAAACACATTTTTTTATAGTTCGTATGTATAAGAATACAAAACACTATAGAAATGGACACGTGTTTTTTCAAGTTACCTAGGTTGTTTAGTTAGGTATGTCTGTTTAGTAATATTTTGTTTACGTTACGTTATACGTTTATTTGACTCCAACTTAATTAAATAGAAGCTAGTAAAAGGAAGTTCACGGTAGAAACATAAAATGGGTTGAAAAACCTTGTAACTTTATTCAAAGTAGGTGTAATTCGGGGACTTAATGAACAGATACAACAACCTTGTTATTGTGGAGATATCCGAGAGTAGGTGTCACATACGTGGTACTGTATTACGTGGTATCCAATAGTCGGGTTACATACTTTACACCGTACTGTATTATCCAATAGTCGGGTTACATACTTTACACCGTACTGTATTACGTGGTATCCAATAGTCGGGTTACATACTTTACACCGTACTGTATTATCCAATAGTCGGGTTACATACTTTACATCGTACTGTATTACGTGGTATCCAATAGTCGGGTTACATACTTTACACCGTACTGTATTATCCAATAGTCGGGTTACATACTTTACATCGTACTGTATTACGTGGTATCCAATAGTCGGGTTACATACTTTACACCGTACGGTATTACGTGGTATCCAATAGTCGGGTTACATACTTTACATCGTACTGTATTACGTGGTATCCAATAGTCGGGTTACACACTTTACACCGTACTGTATTACGTGGTATCCAATAGTCGGGTTACATACTTTACACCGTACGGTATTACGTGGTATCCAATAGTCGGGTTACATACTTTACACCGTACTGTGTTATCCAATAGTCGGGTTACATACTTTACACCGTACGGTATTACGTGGTATCCAATAGTCCGGTTACATACTTTACATCGTACTGTATTATCCAATAGTCGGGTTACATACTTTACACCGTACGGTATTACGTGGTATCCAATAGTCGGGTTACATACTTTACACCGTACTGTGTTATCCAATAGTCGGGTTACATACTTTACACCGTTCGGTATTACGTCGTATTCGACAACAGTCGGGTTAGATACGTGACAGCGTACTGTTTTACATGGTATCCAACAATAGTCGGGTTACATACGTGACATTGTACTGTGTTACGTGGTATCCAACAGCAGTTTGGTTTATTTATGTTAGTGTGAAATAAAAATGGTTTTAAGTAGTTATCTGAACCATGTCGTTATTTGTTATGTGAAATGTTGAAATGATTAAGAAACAAGTACTTGATTCTCGTTTCTTAGGCCTATTATCTAAACGTTAAGAACAATATACCTGGAACGTATGACTGATAGAGTTATGATGGAACGAGAAAACGAGTTTGGTGACCGTGAACACGTCACGTATCTAGTCCTCTATATTAGGGTACATCATAGCACTACGTGTTTAATGAATTCCGCGAAGATCCGGTTCTTTAATAATAATTTGTGCAACAAAATGGTCGTTTATACGCACGTCTGCTACATACTATCGTCTTTGAGACGACTTTGAGTTCAAGTTTAGATGAATATTCGAGACTGTTGAGAAGCGGAAGTGGAATGTAAAGAACTTAACTAGTCATTCTGGCATGTACACTTCAACATATTCTGAAATAGGCCTATAAATTTACAAAATGTCAGGAGTTTACTGACTAGGAAGAAGTAAGTAAATCATAAGAGTACCAACGAACCCTACCTCGTTATTGCATTTTTTGATACTGTTACGTATCTGCTTGTTTGATAATTTCAGGTAAAAAATTTCTCCGAGAAGGACTTCAGCGATACAAGTCTTTTTTTTTTACTACACTTAGTTTATTCTTTCTCGTTACAAACTTTGTAATACACTT